GGGACTCCAGGATCATGACCTGAGCCGAAGGCAGTCGCTTAACCAACTGAACCACCCAGGCGCCCGAGCACATGTTTCTTAAATAAGGATGTTTTAAGCCTTTGTATTCTGGAAATGTTTGCTGTATCATTTTTCTAGGGATGAAGATGTGGGGGTCACTGTACTATATCTGAGGACATTGGCTCATAGAGGCTTTTGCTCCCTTTCCTCATGTCTTTCAAATTCTTGCTAAACTGCATGTTGTGCTTGTAATGTTAGCTGCTGAACTGGTCCAAGTCATCATGTTCTTAAGAGACAAGTAGGTCTTTTGTTTCATCACCTTCTCGTTGGGGTGATTATTTGACATGTCATTTTTATGCTTATAAAGCCAAAGACATCCATAAAATTCTTGGAAAAAGTTCATGTTGAAAGGCTATGGTGGTTTCCCATGTGGTATAATTCACTTTATTATCTTAGTAATGTGAAGGGATCTTTATTTACCTACTTGACTGTATTTTTTATTTATATTGAGAAGAAAGGTTAAGAGGGGGAAAAAACCCTGAATTCTGTCATTGTTCCTGTTTGATTTGCAATTGAGTGGCCAGCTTTTTGAGGTCTTCTGTACAGATTTGTAACATTTTTTTCCCCACTCTTGTTTCAGGCACGAGGAGGGGCACGTTGTTGGTATGTGTTGAGTGAAACAACCTTAACCTGATGTCTCCTAAGAATTTCACATGGCATTTCTTAGTGTGAAGGCAGCTCACTCACATAAAACAACTTAGAATGTTTGAAAAATTCAGTTGTATTTATTATTTTAATCCCCTGCTAATTCCAGGATTTTGTCTTAAAACCCGATTGAGAGTAACTCTTAGGATGTGTTTTGAAATAGGTTTTAACTAAAGTAATCATGTACATGTCTGATTTATCTGCAGGAGTGATTGAATTTGTAAGCAATATCTGCAACATTTTCATTTCCCAAAATATGGCTTTTGGCTTTGTAATGACTATGAAGCTATTATATTTGTCTTCTTTAAACATAAAAATCAATTGTTGGCCCATTATCTGTATAAGTTAGTTAATAAAATCCCACCAAATTTAACAAAGGATCTGCTTAATTCTTTCCTTACAAACGATTTCACTGACATAGTAAATAAGACCACCATCAAACAAACTTTATAAAGCAACATTGTGGACTTTAAATTTGGAGGCTCTGTGTCTATGGTACTGATCATTTTTCTGGTTGTTCGAAGAAATCTCTTAAATATGTTCATTGTACTCACCATAGCACATACCCTCCCCAATGTCTATCACCCAGCCACCCCATCCCTCCCACCCTCACCACTCCAGCAACCCTCAGTTTGTTTCCTGAGATGAAGAATTCCTCATATCAGTGAGATCATATGATACATGTCTTTCTCTGATTGACTTATT